AAGAGCACTCGCGGGGGGCCGTGGAAAGGTGTCACGGAGATGCCGTCCCCCGGCGATCCCGAACTCTGAGCTCCGCCAGAGACACTGCAGATTTTTACCAGTCCTCCGAGCACTTGAAGACCATGAGCTTTCAAGGTCCCCCTACCCCAGATGTGTTCGTGCTGATCTTTGAGTTTCCCCGAGACCCTCTCAGGGTGGAGCGTCCTGCCAGGAGGAGGAAGGTGAGCGAGTCCCCGCCCCCGCCCCCAGGAGCGAGTGGATTTGGGGCAGCCTCGGAAGAGTGTCGGGCTGACCCCCAGAGTCCTCCCAGCCCCTCAGGGGCCGCCCGACTGGCATCGTGTGCGCACCTGCGTCTGCATGACGCTTGCTGATGTTGCGGGTGTGGCTTATGAATACGTCTGCACAGCCGGCTTCTGGAGTGGAATGGCAAGCCTCGCGTCTTTAAAGCTGGAAGGGACTTTCGGAATTACCGGCCCAACCCCGTCCCCCTTTCTGCCCCCTCTCCCGGGGCAGAGACCCCCCTTCCGCCCCTTTGGCAGGGGGCAGCCCGCCTCTGCCCGACGCGCCCTGAGACGGGAACTTGCTCCCGACGCCAGATGGAGCTTCGTGGCGAAATCGCAGCTCGCATTAAATAACCAGTTCAGTAAACTCTCAGTCGCCGTCTCGGACGGTGCTGAAACCAGGTGGTGAAACGGGTAAACGGAACATACTGTACTTTGAGAAATGGCCCAAAACCGGGCGGGCATCTTCAAGGGCTACGCCTAGGCCGACTACTAACACGCATTGTGGGAACGCCGTGTATACCTCACGTACTGTGTCCCGGTACATGTTCTAGCCTTTTCTACGTGTATCGGTCTGTGTTTGTTTTGTTCTGGCTCTGAGGCTCGAGTCGTCGTCTGTGTCTGTCTGAATCGCCTGCGTGTCTGAAACCACGTGAAATGTGAATCATGGTCGGCAATCTGGCCGTGACAGGGTCCTGGGGCTCGGAGGGGAGGGCGGGCAGGGCCTCGGTCCCACGCGTGCTCGTGGCTGCCTGACTGTTGCATCTGTGATCCGTCATCCGGCTGGGCGTCCTGGGCCGGCGAGGCCGCGGCCGGGATAGCTAGAAACACTAGGTTCTTCCTGTACATAAGTGTAGATATGCAAACAGCGGGAGGCCGTTTCTGACTTGTAGAGAAATTTTAATAAATCTGGTTTCGTAAACAGGCGTGGTGAATTTCTTCAGGGTCCAGTCTGCCTTTGCCTGTTGCGATTTTGTGCAGAGTTGCAAAGGTCTTGGGCTCGGAGCTCACAGATGGGGGAGATGGCGGGGAGGGGAGACAGAAAAGCAGACAGATGACAACGGTGATTGTGTGTGATCTTTGAGAGACAGGAACCTGTGTGCCCTTTTTTTTTTTTTTTTTTTTTTTTTTTTGGGGGTCAGGGTCTCTGTCGCCCAGGCTGGAGTCCAGTGGCACGATCACGGCTCACTGCAGCCTCGACCTCCTGGGCTCAGGTCATCCCCATTCTGCCTCAGCCTCCTGAGTAGCTGGGTTTACAGGCTCGTGCCACCATGTCCAGGTCACTTTTTTTTTGGAGAGACGAGGTCTCGTATGTTGCCTAGGCTGGTATTCGTCTTTTCAGTGTTAGTGAGCGTGTACATTTTGACGGGTGAAACCCACGTGGTGAAACCAGGCGAGTTTAGCCTCGGGAAGCCCTTTGCAGACAGGCGTGGCCAATAAGCCTTGAGTCTCTTTGGGGCCAGGGACCCTTGAGGATTTGGCAAAAGCTATGGACCCTCCTCAGAGCAACGCCACGTGTGTCTGCAACAGAAGTTTGTGATGACAGAGGCTCAAGCAAGTCCCTGAGGACATCTGGGACTTAGGGCTGAGAACCACCCCCTACATTAGACCTAGTTAAGGTGACTAAGTGAGGCGGGTTTTTTCCTTTCTATAAAAACGGAAATTGAAGCAAAGAAAAACTAAGGTGACGCTCATTTGAATCACAAAAGTAGAGGAAGAAAAAGGGGTGTTGGTTTAATTAAGTTTATAGCTTCACTATTCAGAATCTATTTTCTCCCTGTGCATCTGCCATGGTCGGCAAGAACAGTCTATTCTAAATGAAGTCAGTGTGTATCTAGACTCTTTTTTTTAACAGCTCTTTTAGGTGGCGTTTTCCAGGCTGACTTCAAAAATTACTTTACACTGTAAAGTACAACAAATATTTAGAAAAATGCACACATAAGGGCGCAGCTGAATAAAGGTTCACAGACTGAACACGCGGCCGCCAACAGTCAGATCTAGAACACACAACACTGCTGGGACCCCCAGAGCTCCCTCCTGCCCTGCAGCCCTGCCTGGCCCGCTCTAAGGGTAACTGCCTTGGGTCAGAATTTAAACTCCAAGCAGTGACAGTTAGAAGGAGGACTGACTGACCAACTCTCTGCTTATGCGAAGGGACGTGCAGAAGGGACAGGTAACACAACTGCACTTTTGCAGGACTCAGGCTGAGGTCCCCCAGGAAAGCAAACCTTGCACACTGAAGTTAGCACAGCTGGGGCCTTGTGACCCCGGAACTTAAAACGAAAAAAGCACCGCAGAAGTGGCCAAGTGCCTGGGTGGCTTGGGGGTCGGGAATCGGGCTGGACTAGGCCCATCCCACGAATAGGCCCCTAGACCCCCAGGTTCCTGGAGCAGGCCTTGAACCACACACTGTGGCGTCTCCCTGCGCCAGGGAACCCGGACAAGGCCCAGCCATTGCCTGGGGCTCGCAGAATGCAAACACCTTGGACTTCGCTGAGCTTTTAATCTACGGGTTTCAAAACACTTCATGAGCAATTAAGGTTGCACCGCCCCTCTGAGCCGCTGTGGCACGGACCGCGTGGAAAGCGGTGTGGGTCAGGCTTGGCTGGTGGCATGAGTTGCCACACATCCGTACATGTAATCTCTTCTGAGGCTGGAGCAAATCTGGGGCCGTGGCGGCCAGTTGAATTCTGAAAGGTCAGGACGCGTGGGCCGAAAAGGGACCGCTTTCATTTTCCCTCGGGTCCCCAACATGCTTGTCATTTGAGTAAGTCATTCGAGGAACATCTCAATAATCTTTGATGCTTATCACACTTTCTAGAAGTTTCTCCCCTCCCCTGTGGCAGTCACAGCAGCTGAGCGAAACAGCCAGGTTGAATATTTCCCCCATTTTGTAGTTGAGAAAACTGATGCCCAGGTGTCTTTCAGAGCCACTCGGGAGTAAGCAGCTCCAGGTGGGTTAAGAACTAGGGTCTTTGGACTCCAAGCCCAATGCCGTTACGATGTTTACAACGCCACGCACAGGCTTCCGTTAAGAACAATGCGAGAGACGGTGGTTCAAGACAAATACAGATACTGAGTTTTCAGCTCCATTGATGTTTTCAAAATGACCCAGGATGCCAGTCACAAAGGTGGAGGCTTTACTGAAGATATAGATCTGTTATTCATTCAAGAAGCATTCACTGTGCTCCTACCATGTGCCTTGCACTGGTAGACCCTTGTCCTAGCTCATGGGATGGAAAGCTCCATGACATCAAGGACTACGACAGTCTTGTTGTCCCCAGCTCCCAGCACCCAGCTCGGTGCTTTCCACGAGGAAGGTGTCAAGTGCCCACATGAACGGATGGGTTGATAGGCAAGTAGAAGGGTGGAAGGGGATAGACAGATGGGTGGGTGACGGACAGGTGGATCAGTAGATGGATAAGTGGATGGATCCGTGGGTGAATGGGAAGTTGGATGAATGGATGGGTGGATGAATG